GGAGGTTAACCCCATGGCCCTCCCCCTGCTCTCTGTCTTAGTCGGCATGATAAGTGGAAATCGGGAACCTGGCTGCGCATGCTGGTGAGATTTGCAAGCTCTCCGCTCATCGGGTACCCAGAAGCTCCTCACAGAACCATAAATAATTCTCTGCTCCTCTTCCCTCGCACGCCCTGTCTTTTATGTGGAATTTTCTTCTGCCGTGAGCAATTCCTGCTCTGCCACTTTCCCTGTTCCCAAGAGCTTCAAAGTGAAATCAGCCCACTTGTGCTTTCCACTCTTCCTGGGTCCAGAAACACAGCATCGGGGCTGTAAGTCTCGGTGGGTGTTGGGGAGGTGGCAGGGAGGTGACCTGCTGTGCCCCTCAGAGGTGGGCATCCATTTGGGGCTGCAGCAGCACCCGGGGTTTCGGTAGGAACCCCCTCACCACGTGCCAGGGCCGAGCCCTGGTTTGACTCACCCGTGGGTTTCACCACGCTAAGGGAGCATGACGTCAGCTTTCGGAGAGGGTGGGGAAGGGGAAGAAGTCAGAGCTGCAGGAAATGTGAAAGAAACGGAGATGGTGGTCTGTCCATAGGAGGTCCCTGCACTTTTTGGGACAACTCAAAATAAGTAGGACTGACATGTGACAAAGCTGACAGAAAATGGGGATTTGGTGTTGCCTGTGGCTATAGCCGCTTTGAGGGCTGCTCTTTTTAAATGCATTAAGAAAGAATTGCGGTTATTGCATCGCTGGGCTTTTCAGAGCTTCTGGAAAAAAAAATTATAGGAGGATTTAAATCTTAAAGTTGCCTTAGAGTTACTGAAAATCTAAAATGCCTTTTGGTGCTCTAAGCAGTCTGCAGAAGATAAAATGCACATCATAAACATAGTCAAACCCCTAATTAATAAGTGTCAAAAGGAATTAGTTGGTCTCTTTCATGTTTTAAATAAGTGCAGGTGGAAAATAATATAAAAGCTGCTTTCTAGTTATGAAGCTGACTTCATTTGGATATGGGTTCTTCTATAACTTTGGGGGTTTTGTCCAGTATTGGCCATGAAGGAAAATAAATCTTACAAATTGAAACCTTCCAGAGTAGACACCGGAATCCATTTTCACAGCAGTCGTGTGAGGTACAGTGTGATTGTTAGCTGCTAAACTTGGATCCGTGACCTGGCTAACTGAGGCAGCCCGGGGTGGGAGAGGAGCTTCTCGGTTTAACCGCTTCATCCCAAGCCTACAGGAGAACAGGGTGAGCTCTGAGTGCTGTTTGTTGTGGTCGGCAGAGCTGCAGTCCCCGTGCAGCCAGGAGCGCTAGCTGGGACCTCCCCCTGCCCTGGTGTGCTGCCCTTTTGTGGTGGGACTTGACAAACAAAGATGTTCACGCTCCAGCGGTCTCGGCGTGGCCATGGAAACGAGGTGGGGCCAGCACTACTCACCCACCCTCTGTGAAAGTGTGGGCAGTTCCTGCCTGCCTCTTAGTCCTGGTAGAGATTGCCTCCAGCATACACTAGTCTAGCAATAAGGAGAGACTCTCCAATAGCAAACTCGGGGCCTGTTTACACACTGATAGCAGCCTGCTTGGGCAGTTCTATGGGTGGCATTTAGCAATGTATGATAGGGGGGAAAAAATACCCAAACCCCAAAATAAACCCCAAAAACTCCAGCATAGGCACACCAGTGACTTCTCACTGCTGTGATTAATTCAACCTAAGTTTTACTTATAATAAAGGAAATTACATTCTTAGTTCTTACATACATTAAAAAAAAAAAAAAATCTAAGTGCATGGGGCTTGATTTTTCAGGAGCCTGAAGTCCCACCCACACCAGCTTTCCAAGGAATGCTGATGCTCTGCATCTTGGAAGCTGGGATGTATACTTTGCATGAAGAGTCTTCCACGATCACTGACCAGAGCCATCCCTAGCTGGAAACACTGCCATATTCTTGTGTCTCCAGATAGTCCTGCTCCTTTGGAAGAGAAGGGAATCCAGTAAATTAGTTGCATTGTACTGTTACGTTTTGCTTTGTGGAAAACGCTTTCTGCACCTCACAGCCAACACTGTATTTAAAGAATGTAAGGCACAGTGAGACTGTGTATCAAATAACACCAGACCAAGCACTTTGTCATTTTCTTCGGCCAGGTGGTCGGAGGTAGGCGGAAACGCTCTGCGTCCTGTTGCTACAACACTCGGCCAGGGGTTCGGATGTAGGCGGAACCGCTCTGCGTCCTGTTGCTACAACACTGGTTCCAGGGAAGCGTGACTTGTTTCCCATGTAAACAACTTGCAAACAGAACCTGCACTTTCATGTCATTACTATATACAAATTTACTCTTGCATATTGTGCTGTGCTGCCTCTTCAGAGCTTTTCTTTAATTAAAAAAGGCTTTTTAAAGATTTTAAGCAAATATACTAAACCTAAATAAGGTAACACTTCCTATTTTTAAGACGTAGTAGACTCTAATAAGGTTGTGGGTTGTTTTTCTGATAAAAATGCAGTTTATTTTCTTTTTAATTGAGCAGATGCCCCTTACACAGAAGGCTCTATTTACATCACCCTACCTGCACACACATGTGGAGCTTGCTTAGGGTCTCAGCCCTTGCTGGACCCCCAGATGTTGCTAGCAGGCAGGCCTCCGCTTTCCAGAAGCATTGTTTGTCCGTGTCCTAGAGGGAGAGTCTGCTGGCTAGAGCAGGAGGGATTTGGGCTTGGCAGGGTTTTTCCCAGTTCTGCCACTGATTTCCCATGTGGCTCAGACAAGTTACTTTAATCCTGTGTCCCTGCCTAGCTTCATTTAGAGGGTCGATAGCACCGGCCTGCCTCTGCTGAACAATTTCAAGTTTGACTGATGTTTTCAGAATGCTTTAGGACACTTGGAAAGTGATCCTGTCAAAGTGAAGGTTTTGCTGTTCACAGTCTCCTGCTGTTGCTTGTAGGGCTCCTGCCAAATGAAACCTTCAGTGGTGGGTTTGGTAGCACACAAACACCGGCACCTCTCATAGCAAAGGGTAAAGCCACCACTATTTGTTCATACTGTTTTTACGCTCTTGCTTCTGTAGCCACCACTCGTCGCTTTGGCATAGATGGCTGGTTTTCCCCATCAGCAGCTTCTGTGGAGTCATGGAATCATTTGGGTTGGAAGGGATCTTTTAAAGGTCATCTAGTCCAACCCCCTGCAGGGAGCAGGGACATCTGCAACTAGAGCAGGTTGCTCAGAGCCCCGGCCAAGCTCACCTGGAATGTTGCTAGGGATAGGGCATCAACAACCTTTCTGGGGAACCTGGGCCAGGGGCTCACCAGCCTCAGTGTAAAAAATTTCATCCTTAGATCTAAATCTCCTCTCTTTTAGTTTAAAGCCACCACCCCGTCTGCATCAAAGAGCATATTCTTACCCTTTTTGTTAATGAGGTCAGACCTGGCACTGCCCCTCAACACCTTGCACGATGGAAGCGTTAATGGGGGTGGGACCCTGTGAAACATCAGCAGGGCTGGAAGCCCACATGTAGCTGTGCGGCTGCTCTGGGCAGCAGGCAAGGCAGCCCACTTGTTCACTGTGACAGGGCTTCTGCCCTGGGCAGGAGGCTGCCTCGTTCCCCTGCAGCACGCTGTTAGTGGAGGGTGAAGCAGCATCAGCAGACAACTTGGGCATTTAACCCTTTGAGATGGAACTTCCAGTGTGGTGGCATTAGTGGTGCTGATTTCGTGACAGATGCCTACAGGCTGGGGGAGAGCCGTGCTCTTGGGCAGAAAGGAGAGACCTCTCTGTGGAGGCAGTGTGAGAGCAGTATGGTCAGCACGGGGAACTGAACTGACTGCAGAAAAAAAAAAAGTGCACCCGGTTGTTAAAAGCAAATTAACCCTCTGAGTTGCCCGATGACATTAAGAGAAGTTAGAGGGTACTTGTGTGCTATTGTGTGAGAAGTGATCCACTTATCACAATTGCAGCACTGAAACTGTTTTTAAAACAGCTGTGGGAAATCTGCATCCAAACTTAATGGGAGTGCTTTTGCTGGGTGATGGTAATAAGATACATCTATTAAAAATACTTCACTCTAGTAGCTGTTTGCTGAAACTAGAATCCTTTGTTCTTTTTAAAGAATAGAAAAATCCAAACCAGGACCACTTCAGCTGATCTGGACCTGTCAGATCTAACTACAACTTGGCCTTACAATCCATTTTATCTAAGTGCTTGCTCTAGGAAAGAAAAAAAAAAAACAAAAACAAAAACAAAAAAAGACAAGAAGAAACCATTTTTAAGTGGAAAAACAATAAGTAAAGCTCACCTCTGAATCCAGGGCTAAATAGAAGTATCTAATGTAAAATTTGCAGTGAGAACAAGAGTTCCATTTGATCACCAGTGTTTCCAGCTGACAGGTGGGAGCAGCAGACGCTGGTGCTGGTGCCCTTTTCCTGATGGCTTCTGTTTGGTCTTTTTCCAGTACGCCACCACGGGCTGCTCTCTGACACTCCACCACACAGAAAAGCCAGAACACGAAGACATCTGCGAGTATCGTCCCTACTCCTGCCCTTGCCCCGGGACCTCCTGTAAATGGCAGGGATCCTTGGAAGCGGTGATGTCCCACCTCATGCATGCCCACAAAAGCATTACCACCCTTCAGGGAGAAGACATCGTCTTTCTGGCCACGGACATTAACCTTCCAGGGGCAGTTGACTGGGTGATGATGCAGTCGTGCTTTGGCCACCACTTTATGCTAGTGCTGGAGAAACAAGAGAAGTATGAAGGCCACCAGCAGTTTTTCGCCATCGTGCTGCTCATCGGCACCCGTAAGCAGGCGGAGAACTTTGCGTACAGACTGGAGCTGAATGGCAACCGCCGCCGGCTGACCTGGGAGGCG